GAGGTACCCCGAAAGTAAGAGTAGAGGAGTTAGAAGTAGAATTATTGAGAACAACAGAAGAAAAACGATTACAGAGATAAGAAGAAAACCAAGATAGACAAGAATCAGTAATATTAAAAGAAAGATGCAGCAGTCTCAAGAGAATAGTATGGTCAACAGTATCAAAAGCTGAAGAAAAGTCAAGAGCAAGAAGAAGAGTAAGATTACTATTGTCACTAGAGAGAAGGATATCATTGTGTATTTTAAGTAAAGAAGTTTCAGTACTGTGAGCAGGTCTGAAACCAGATTGAGATACAGGTAGCAAAGAGTTAAAGTCTAAATAGGATGAGAGTTGATTAAAAACAACTTTTTCTATTATTTTAGAGATGAAAGTAATATTAGTTACAGGTCTATAATTAGATAAAGAGGTAGGATCTAGGGATGTGTTTTTAAGAATAGGAATAACAATAGAATTCTTATAAGAAGTAGGAAATTTAGAGGTGGAAAGAGATAAATTAACTACCATACCAACAATAAAATAAATTAATGAATAAAAAATATTATCATATTATTATTACTATTAAGGAACAAATTAAGTAGGGTAACGTGGGGCAAAACGCCGCATGGGTAAAAAGCCTAAATCCAGTTTGCACGAAATTTGTTTGACCGAAAGTTGTTCAATTAATTTTTAAAAATTAGAACGTACCCTTATTATTTTGAATGTAAAACCACGCCGTTTCTCCATTTGTTTTTTCTGTTTCGGAGTTTTATACAGATTGCGAGTGAAAAATTGGTCGTGTTATAAATTTTGTGTTCGGGTTTTTAATTAATTTCTTGATAATAAGATCGTTATTTGTGAAGAAAAGAGGTTTTTTATGAAGAAAAATCATTTTCACATATACAAAAGTAACTTCTAATCGGTTGGAACAATTTTTTGTATTTTTAAATTAAATTTATTCTTAACATTGTACGAAGGTAATGTTCGCGACGGTTTTTAACTCAGCGACGATTAAGCATATGTAAAAGGCGGATTATGAAAAAACCGATTAAATAATAAATATTTAAAGGTTTAATGAAATGAAAAAAGATTTATTATTGTTTTTTATTTGTTATTTATAACATTTTAACTTTATTCAGATTAAAAATTGCATAAAACAATAAAAAAAACATCATCATAAAATCGCTATATATTAAGATACCAACGATAAGGAGAAAGTTAAAAAAATCGCCAAAAATTTATTTATGTATGCATCTGAAATATATTAGCATTTTTTGATAGACAATTTTATTTATAAAAATACCATATATAACAAAACTTTCTCCCGTTTTGTGCACATTCTCAAAAATTCAATTGAACGCATTAACCCTACTTTTCCAAATTTGCGTCATTGGTAAAAAAATCGCCAAAAATCCATTTATGTGTGCATCTGGAAAATATTTGCATATTCTAATAGACAATTTTATTCCCAAAATCAACATATAACAAAGCTATCTCCCGTTTCGTGAACATTCTGAAAAATTCGTTAGAACGCGTTAACCCTACATTTCCAAATTTGCGTCATCGGTAACGAGAAAGTTAAAAAATCGCCAAAAATCCATTTATGTGTGCATCTGGAAAATATTTGCATATTCTAATAGACAATTTTATTCCCAAAATCAACATATAACAAAGCTATCTCCCGTTTCGTGCACATTCTCAAAAATTCGACTGATGATGTTCACTCCTGCACTACAATGAAGTGCGAGTCGGTTTTTGCAGGAGACCTACCTATAGAGCTGCGTTATTTTTACTGGCTTAGTTAAATGAAACTAAAGCAGCTAAATTAAACTAATTTTTGAATGTAAAAAGGCTCATTCAATTAAAAAAAACGCAACCTACCTAAATAGCTGCCTGAAGCAGGCTCATTCAATTAAAAAAAGGAACCTACCTAGAGAACTGCCTGAAGCAGGCTCATTCAATTAAAAAAAGGAACCTACCTAGAGAGCTGCCTAAAGCAGGCTCATTCAATTAAAAAAAGGAACCTACCTAGAGAGCTGCCTAAAGCAGGCTCATTCAGTTAAAAAAAGGAACCTACCTAGAGAGCTGCCTGAAGCAGGCTAATTCAAATAAAAAAAGGAACCTATCTAGAGAGCTGCCTGAAGCAGGCTCATTCAATTAAAAAACGCAACCTACCTAGAGAGCTGCCTGAAGCAGGCTCATTCAATTAAAAAAAGGAACCTACCTAGAGAGCTGCCTGAAGCAGGCTCATTCAATTAAAAAAAAGAACCTACCTAGAGAGCTGCCTGAAGCAGGCTCATTCAATTGAAAAAAGGAACCTACCTAGAGAGCTGCCTGAAGCAGGCTCATTCAATTAAAAAACGCAACCTACCTAGAGAGCTGCCTGGAGCAGGCTCATTCAATTGTCAATTATATTTGACCAAGTAGAGACCGACAAATATTACAATTATACAACACTTTAGTCCAATTAATGCATGTGATGAGGGTACATTTTCTATGAACCCAGCGGAAACAGTTTTGACACTGAATCCATAACTCATCAGCGCTTTCATTACAACAAAATAAACATTCATTTATCATGTTATCGGAATTAGCAATCACATCATCAAATATTTTTAATCTACATCTTATTGGATCAAATTCGTTTCCAATTGGTTTGCTTTTATCTAACGTGTCCATGACCATGTAGATGAAAATTCCACAGTTGTGGCCATCCATCTGCTTTGGCAGTTCATTATGCGCTTCAAAGTCGAAATTTTCCCATGATTGTTTGTTAATTCTTTGGGACATACGTTTAAATCTTTTTTCATATTGTTTGATTTGCAAAATAGATGATCCAAGAGGGTTATAGAAAAATATTTTGTTTAGATTATTATCTACAGTTATTAAACAGTAATGATTGTTGTTGACGACGAGTGGGAAAAATATGTAATTAGCATTAAAAGAATATTGGGGCTAGAACAAGTAAAATTTTTAAACATTACAGTTGTGGACAAGTCACAAGGTATATAGATTGAATTTGTAAACCAGTGAGACAAATAATCTAAAAGAACGCTACTCACCCATTTTTCTCCAAAAAGAGTCTGAAAATCCGAAAGCAACAACCTATCATTTCCTTTTTTGGCAACGTAACAATTTCTACTGATTATTTGCTCGTAATAGCATTTGTTGCTCGGAATGTTGGAATTTGTTATACAGATGTTGCTGTGGCCATTTGCACTTTGATCATTGTTGCAAATTATTGTGGGTATTTTAACGGTAACTATGCTGTTGAAATAACTTTTGAAAGGTTTACGTTTCCCCCAATAATTTTCCTCACATTCTTTTACCACTGTTTTTATTTTTCTTTTACGAGAAGCGGGTATTTGCAATAGAATTTCTTTCGTACGCGCATCAACATGGTTTTTTAACAACTCCGCAAAACGACCTATTTTTAAATTTGTCGATCCATTTAGCAATTGGTGTTTAATAAACCTAAAACAATTTTCAACTTTGCTATTGCTTGTTCGTTCCCCGTTTTTATTCAAAAGAACTGTCCAAAGAGGCAAAATCGAAATATATTTTTTTAAAACAAGTTTCGCGAAAGTTTTATTACAATATTCGTTTGGCTCCGTCTGTTCATCGTTCACCAAACGCAATTGGTCGTTAACATGTTCAAGAATTTGTAAGCGTTTTCGATAAAATGGGCTACTTTCGTAAATTGTCTCCAATTCATTAACTTCATTATCGTCATCATCATAAACGTGTTCAATTAGATCGTAATGACTTACTTCATTGATTGTTGATTCATGAAACTCATCAAAATGACTATTTAAAGATGGAGTTTTTTTTAACGAACATGTAATATGAAAGAATGAAGTAATTAAATTTATCATCCGTCTATAACTTTTGGCTTGCAGTATTACGCTAAAGGCATTTATATAAAATTTAACAACCTCTTTTGTACTAATATTTTTTTTGACAAATCGAACTATGTTTTTAAAAAAGTGCGCGCAGCAAAGCTTTATCATTATTTGATTTTTTGGGACACATTCGCTAATACACCATTTAAATGCCATTGCCAGGTAACCTCTCAAATCAACTCCAATCCAACCAGTTAAAACGGCATTTATCATTGCCATTGAGTGGTCTGTAACCACGTTCATAAAAATTGGCCAGGCGTTTACCTTTTTTATGACGTATCTTCTAAAATTTATCAAATGATAAGCAACTGAAGCTGTGTCATGGCGATCGCTTATAAAATCAAAAATTTGAGCGTAACCCGCATCAAGACCTACTACGGCGCTGTATAGATATATAGTTTGTTTGCTATGAAGACGACGAACCACAGACCCCGTTGAATCTAAATGTATTGTTGGTAAGTCTGTCTGACCTAATCTCAAAATAACTTCAATTTGGTCGTCGGAAAAAAAAGTGGCATAAAATGGAACGGCTGAAACTGCTTGTATATAAATTTCATCCGGTTTTTTGAAATTTTTGACGTTCTATTAGATCAATAACGTCATCTTTTGCCTTATCGACTGCAGCCATAGCCTCACATCTCACATTTTTAAATACCCCCAACGAATGAATATTTTGTAGATTCTCCTGTTTTATTAATGCAGCATTGGAGGATCTTATAAATTTTTCACGTAAAACAGACGGATATTGCGATATTAACTGTTCATACAAGTTTTTTCTACGTTGGCCTCTTAGTTGTCTTACTAATTTTCCATTATGGTTATAATTGGTAGACGATGTATAAATATCAATTTTGTTATGACTTATATTTACCTTAAATAATCTGCACATCTCAAATTTACATTTGAGATAAATAATGTAACGCGAACGATTCTCGCGTTTACTATTTGTGATAGCAATGCAGGGCGAAATGGCATTTTCTACCGCGAAGCAGATACGCTCAGTTGATGTTGCATCTTTTTCGCGGAGGCCTTGGTACACCTCTTCTTCAACTGCACTACTTAAAAGATGCACGGTGCAGTTGGCGTACGTCCTGCAACTAACCTCTTTTCCTTCTTCTTCAAGCTCATGTACCCCTTGGAAATTAGGAATAGATGATAAAAAATTACAAACATGCAGAAAGGGAATATTAAATTTGAGGCAATGTTTATTACAAATAAATTGACGTAGTACATACAAATTATAATGCATTATAAATGATATATAAATACCTCGTGCCGGCGAATTGTTTTCAACAATTGCAACACTTTCATCATGTGATGCCTGAGTGGCTTGCCGTTGTGATTCATAGATGACATCAGTGTTCTCTACCTGCTGCAAAAAACATTGTATATTAATTATATTACCTTGCAGTATCTTTAAGATATCATCTCTGTTGCTCCGGACAATTGTTTGGTTATCATGCAACCACTTGGCTAAGGCATTGTTGTTACATGTTACTATGCTCTGTAGGTTCTGCAAACATTCATCGTTGCCTTGGGGACCATTTTCAGTTAAACCTAAAAAGCATCTATTCCTCCGCAATAAGTCATGCAATCTGTGAATTTCAAATTTTTAATGTTATCACTAGTTTTGTTACATTTTCAATAGTGCATTTACCGCTTTCGATTACTGAAGTTATTTTTCTGCTTTAGGCTCTTGCGAGCTTGGCCAAACCAACCCTGTTCATCCAAACTAGACTGTATTTTAATAAAAATGTTGATTCGTTTAATTTAATGAATAATATGCATTGCACAGTAATTGAACTATAGTTCTTTAACGCGTGAACATTTAAATTTACAAAAAAAAAACAAAATATGTTTTTTATTTTAGCTAAAAATTAACAAATACTAATGCAATCGCAGCAAAAAGTGAAATTTAAACATTTTAAATTGCAAAAAAGATCGTGATGACTAAAATTGTGAAAAGTACAGATCGATATCGCTAACTTATAAAGTTATCGTTTAACATTTATTTTTGTGGCTTCGTATATTTTTTAGCAGGGGCGGATCTAGGTAATTGGTTTTGGGGGGGCAAGCGATGGGCAAGGGGTAGGGCATGGGGGGGCCAGACATGCTGGAGTGTTTTGTGTTTAAAAGTACACAACAAACAAATTAAAACATATTCAAAAAGATTTAATATATATATATATATATATATATATATATATATATATATATATATATATTCTTATGTAATGCAATTATTAAAAATTAAAGTTTATTTAGGTATTATTTCTTTCTTAAGCACTACTAAGGTGCAGCGAATAACTTAATTAATGTTATTTCACTCATCCTTTGGTGCAATATTAATTGCCTGTTTCATTTGTTTTCAAATCTGATTATCTAAATGACGAATTATCGGTTCCGATTTTGGTGATTCATAGCACACATATTGGTAGGAGCTTGGATAAACCTGTCATTATCCAGTCCCACATTTCAAGGCATACCCAGTTCATCAATTATAAGATTACTCAAACCATCAGCAGTTAGATCATGAGCAGGCACAAATCCAATAAATGCTTCGCATACGGCGTCACGTACAAAATATCGTATTACTAGGCTAACCTGTTCTGTTTTTCGACAGTCTTTCGTTTCATCTACCATTATTGCAAATTGAACACTCTCTTTGACTTCATTGATGATTTGTTGCTGAACCATTGCTGCCATGCAATGAAGTATTTCATTCTGGATCGTCTTGCTTGTGTATTTTGCATTTCCCGGCAATGAAGTTATTTTTTTACCTATTTCAGAGTCATACTTGCCAACCAAATTTATTAAATCGAGAAAATTTCCTCTGTTCATACTGCTACTGCTTTCGTCATGTCCTCTTTGGGCTATTTTGTGCACAGCAGTGTACTTGAGTACATCAATAACAGCTGCAATATAATGGCGATTAGCTTTTATTTGTTTCTCTCTTTTGTCTGATAACATATCCAGAATAGCTTGTTGTGGTTTTTTATTTTTGTATTCAATCCAAGTCTGATATGCTGCCATATGCGCATTTGAACGTATATGCGAAATGAATCCTCCATCAGAATATGTTGCTTTTTTCCAATTAGAGAAACCACTGCGTGTGANAGTATTATCTGGCANATTTCCAGGCATAGGAAAATGTCGACAAGCATAACAGAATGCTGCATCTATCGTTTGAGAATACTCTAGCCAATCATAAGTGGCATACCATTTCTGTTG